GCCAGGCTCCGGGTTTGGGCAGCACACGCTGCTGCCACGTGTGCAACTCTGCTTTTTTCAGGCACAGGTTTTTTTGACACTGGGATCTCCTGGTGTCAACCCCCCCCCCACCATACTGCCAATTAGCAGCATGGCAAACACCTACATGTGCAGTGTATGTGGTTTGCAGCTCCGCAGATCTCATGTGCATGCTCATCTGGACATGCCCAGAGTGAGGCATAAGCAGGGACAGGGTCCATATGTGCCACACAGGTACTGCTGACCAAAAGTCTCCAGCTTAAGGACTGTGCCCACTGTAGAACATGCATATGGAGAGTCATTCAAAAGGAAAACATTTATTTCCCTGTAGTGGGATTGAACGGCAGAACATGTGCCTTTTTTTGGCTGAAAAATGTTTTACACCTGCCTCCCACAAACATCTTTGAAAATAAATGCCAGCCACCAGAATAAAAAGTGTGTTAAGTGAACAGCTTATGCGGCTATATAACATCTTGGTCATGATGCTGAAACTACACTGACATAGAGATGAAGAGGAGATCAGAAATAGCAATGGGTAAAAACACATTATAAGGACTGCTCTGTTAAAGGGAATGTGAACTTTAATTTTGTAAGTATGCTTTAAAAAAACAAATAGTCCTTACACTGCAAGGGGATGTGAAGTTTTTTTCTTTTAATCAGTTTTAGAATACAAAAATTTAGACTATAAATCTTTCATGCATCTCCCTAATCTTCTTTCCATAAGTAAAAGTGGAACTACTGAACAGCCATGCAGTGTTTACTGCGAGTCCCAGAACAGCCCAAAAAAGACACAATTTAGGTCCTTTTAGCCCTGGTGCTGTTACTCTAAATCAATGGTGCTCAAGCGTTTGGCTACATGGCCAGATGAACAACACAGGGACGGTCTGTGGGTCAGATCAAACCCTGCATGCCTGGGCCCTACTCTGCCTCCACCTCTCTCCTAAAATTAAAGCGTAAGCCCAAGTACTGATTTGACTACCTTAAGGAAAACTTTGTGGAACATATTGAAGATGCAATTTAGAATTATTTGAAACACATCTAACCTAGTCCCCTCATGTATAAGGCTTTGTGCTGTCTCTCACTGAAAAATATTTCCATGCCAAACTACTAATTTTCAATCCTTGGGGGGTTTGTTGGCTACAGACCTGTTTTTATGTGTGTATTTTCAGCTTCTCCCACCACAAAAGTAGCAGAACTTTTTTGGCATGTATAGACATTTGCTGTCCCAGGAGAAACCGTCCTGGAAGTGACTCAAACCTGGTTGTTCCCAGGTTATTGTTCTCTTGGAGTGGCCATTTTTACCTTGGGAAAAAAGCCTGAACATCTGTACACTTGTAGTTTCTGCTGGGAGAACAGTGACTTTCCCAGGAGAAACTGAATGCCTCTACGAGGCCTTTATCAATTTTAAAAAACTGGGCAGACACCAATCCTCAAAAGTTTCACACCAAAAGGAGAAAGTATTATTAAAAAATGTGAAACTAGAGCTTCAACATAAACTGTTTTCTATATTAACTACAGAGGTGGTTCACTAGTAGAACTAAAATGTGTCTACAATGTAGGTAGCCTGCTCATTGGAGATAAAGAACTGAACTCCTTCTCTCCACTGCACGGACATATAAGGCAAGCCACATCATCACTGTAGGTATTTAAAGTGCTTATAAAACCTTCAGATGGGTAGGCCAGTGGTCATAGAACTGGTAAGGAGGCATCACTCAGAAATAGTTACTTCTATTTTGTAACAACCTGAACAGACAATTTAATCCATTGTTTTACAAATTCTTGATACAAAATATGCAATGAAATATACCATCATAACATAGATAACTAGCAGAGGATGCAAACAGTGTTCGACTTTCTTCAACCTAGTCATTTCATTCCTTGGAAATCACATGTGAGAAGAAAATTGTTTACAGGTTGCTATAATAATACACAACATAGACAAATAAATTGCAGGACTACTTTGTACTCTGCTTTAGCTTTGGAGCAAAGTTCAGATGAACTTCCTTCTCAGAAAGTATCATTATGTTCTCTAACCAGTTTGAGATAAAACAACTCCCGATTTCTAGTTTCTGTCATTAGAATATAGAACCACTTAAAGTTTTTGATGGTGGTTTTATCTTGCTATCAAAGTGTCTTGTGCACATTTAACTAGAGTAATCAACAGCATGACCAGATGAAAGAAAAGTGATCTTTTGTAGTCTTTGATGAGGTGAGGCCTGCCTCTTCTTCACACAGCTAGGTTGGGATTCTACACAGACTTCTAAACAAGTTGTTTGTTTTCTGAAAGTAGAAAGTCAATTACAAGCTGTGCCTCTGTTCAGAGTTCAAAACTCCAAGTAGCTTGAAATGTGTAAAAAAATACAGTAATTTAGCAGCTATTTTGTATTTCATACAGTGGTCCCAGCAATTTCATAGCAAAAGTCTAGAATAAATTATACTCAAACAGGGGTCCAGATGTCCCTACTTCAGAGAAACCTAAAGGGATAATCTCTTTGCTTTTCTACATCTGGCTAGGATTACTTAATGTAGTGGTTCTCAACAGGTGTTTATACACATGCTCCGGGGGTGGGGGGTGTAAAGGGGATGCTATAATTAGAGCTGTTCTTTGCTGGGGTGCCTTGAGATCCTTTTAAGGGTGTCTCACATTGATCTTAGAGCCTCTCTAATTAAAACGCCTGGAGTGTCTTGGTGGCAGGGTCACTTTAACTAAAGCTCGTTCGACGAGCTTTAATTAAAGTGCCCCCACTGCCATTTTTAAGTGCAGGGATGCTGATACATGAGACACTGGAGTCTGCTGGAGTACGGTAATTACCACACTCCAACAGACTTGATTAATCAAGCCTGCTCTGACATGCTGTAATTAAAAACATTGGGCTCCTATACATAAGCCTATCTAAAAACATTGGGTGCCTATACATGAGCAACAAGGCTGCTCCAATGTGTTGTAATTACAGTGCATTGGAGCAGCCTTGCTGCTTGTGCATAGGTGTCCAATGTTTTAGACTCAAGGCATCGCTCAATAGACTCAAGATGCCCTTCAGAAAATGTCAGCTTTTTGTTTTCACTCAATTTTTAACTACAGAAAAATAAAAAAGCAACCTTCTGTTGCAACCCCCCCTCCCCCCGTAAAAATACCTCAGAAGGTCAGAATGCTGTTAACACTATGAATTCCTATTTGAAATCAGTATTTGAATCATTTTTGTACACCTAACAATGCTAAAATTGCACAGCACCCTGAGGCACACTTAAAAGGATCTCAAGGCACCCCAGAAGGCCAAGGCTCCCAGGTTGAGAAGCACTGGTTTAATCCACAACTCTTTCAGGAGCTCTTTTACCAGAAATGTGAAAGACTCTTAAGATTTCTACTTTTGCAGGGTAGAGAGCACGTCACAAATCACTCTGTGTATCTGGAGGGCTATCTTTGTATTTAATAACAGAAACAGATATCTGGAACACCTGAAATCTTCACATCTATGTAAACACTTAAAATGTCAAGTTTTCATTGCAACAATTTCAAACCACAATTTCAGCAGGCGAGACAGAATGTGGAAGCATGCTAAATTTTCACATTTTTTTGATGTTTATCCTTACCTGTGTCGGTCTCATTGAGCTGAGTAAAGTGATCCAGCATGAATGTGAAAAAATCGGACAGCTAAGTAGAGAAAAAAAGAAATATACTTAACAACTCCAGGGGAATCAGGCAGAAAAAAAGCCTGTGGTCTTTTGCTTCACACTGTTCCCACTGACTAGGAGTTTGAGACAGATCAAAGATATGCCCACACCATGCACCAGGATACTGTGCAGATATACACAAGACAGCTCTGGAAGTAGAAATAACAGAGCCATATTAGCATGGGGCAGCAGCTGTGCTAATCTTCTTAGTTGTCAAGCAGAGCTTATCAGCTCAGATGTAGCACAGTGCAGTGCTACATCTGGAACTAGCCCAGGGATCTGCACAGAATTGCCTTGCACCACGTGGACTCCAATAGATAAGTTAGTCCATTTACAGCTAGCTTGGGCTATCTCTGTATTTAGCCATCTGCTCTTACAGGTCTTAGTGTCTTTCTGTATCACAAATTAATGACGATAACCAGATTTTTCATAAATGATGAAGCTCTTTCCATAAATGTTATAAGTTACCCTCTTCCCTCCCTTTGGGATAGCAAAGTCACATCTATGCATAGAAAGAATCTAACTACAGAGCACAAGACAGACAGGGTAGGTGTACTGATCAGGGGTGTGAACCATGACTAGCACCCATAGGCTAGCAAAAACCTCTTGTATAGACACAGTTTGACCAACAACACTGTGCTTTTAATTGTGTGGTTTATTTTGCTTGTGGGGTGAATGGGTAGATATCCCACCAGCTTTTCTGGTATAGCTGTGTCTATATTGGAGCACTTTACTGGTATACTATAGTAGCCTTGCCATGCTGGTATGTGCTCCAAGTGCAGTTTTAGCTTAAATTCAAGCACACTCACTTTGGCTAGGGACAGACATTCAAAAAGCGGTGCCTGAATTGATTCAATCTTTGCAGGGTAGGCTAACCTGGCTAGGCTGAACCACTTTTTAATTACAGACATCCCCTCTGGACTGAGAAAATAAAGGCACATGCCTGCAGTAGCTTAGGTTAGAAGCTGAGGGCGCTACAGCAGCCCTCCCATTGGTTCAACAGAGCTGAGCTGAGGGGGCCAGGTAGGATGTATTCCTCCCATCCTGAGCTGCCCAGCAGGGAATGTTTATCACCCCTAACTCAGTGTTTATCAATCCATTGAGAAAACAAAGCCTTTCTCCACTAACTAATGGAGCTCTTCTTAAACAGCTCTTCAAAGGAAGGACATTAAAGTACTTGTTGATTAGCTCCAAAAAACCTGTCTGCCTTTATCATCTCCCACAGCACAGACTGTGGCCAGCATGTGGTCTGCTACCTAATTCTGAGAGGTGTAAGACAGAGGGGCAGCCGGAATACTCCCTGATTGGCAGAGAGAAGCCAGGCAGATGCTTGCAGTCTCTGCTGAGCTTTAAGCCAACTCTGCTGTGGAGCAGAGAGCCCTGCCCAGCCCAGAGAGCATGCTGGGAGGCTGGGAGAGTCTGGTTTATCTCAAACCAGCAAGGGGTCTGGGACAGACATTGCATAAACCAGTTTGAGTCAAATCAGTTAAGTTTACATTCAGTCAGGTTTATCTCAAACCAGTTTCAGACATTTTCAGGTTTATGTGCACTGAACATCTGTTTTGTTATAGGTTTAAACCAGTTTCTGATCAATTAAACCAGTTTATATGTAATGTCTGTCCCTAGCCTTTAATTGTTCACTGGTTGATGCTCTTTGTTTTCAAAACAGAAAAAGATAGAATAAAATGGATTTCTAGGAAGCATTAGACCAGGTAAAATCCAAAGCATCCACACTTGAAATGTAACACTGCATGTGGAAGGAAGCTGATTTACATAATTTTAAATATTTTGTAAGATTTTGTTTAAAGAAAATGCAAACAAGAAAATGCTAAATGAAAAGTAAAACTATTTTAACAGATGTTTGTTTAATGTTGAAAAATGTGGAGCAAAGAATTTTCCAACCTATATTTTTTGGTCAGAGGACATTATGACACACACTTCTAACAGCTGATCATTACAGTTGTTTATTTGTATTATGGTAAGGCTTGGAGGTGCCAATCAGTGTCAGTGACCCTTAGAATAAATGCTACATTAATATGGCAGGAAGCTCCTTACTCCTCGTGGGGGAGGTAGCAGCTCCTCCCTGAGGCGAGCTGAGGGTGGGGAAGGGGGCTGGGGCTAGCTCAGGCTCCACCGGCCCCAGAGAACTGCTCTGCTCCCCAGCCCCAATGCTACATGCCTCCTTGCTCCCCAAGGTGAGGCACAGGCGGGAGAGCAGAGCAGTTCCCCGGAGCCAGAGGAGCCCATGCCAGCCCCTAGCCTCAGCCCCCATCCCCGCCCCACCTCAGGGAGGAGCTGCTGCCTGTCCTGCATGAGGACCAAGGAACTTACCACCGGTAAGTGTCCCGCACTGGCCCCAGTGCCTCCCTTCCAGTTCTATCATGCTTTATAATGAATAATTCTTGGGACATGTTTAGCAGTGAACCAGTTACCCAGAGGTAGACAAAATATGACCCATAGGCCAGATATGGCCCACTAACTGATTGGATCCAGTGTAAGAGCGGGTGCCCACCAATTGATTGTGTCTGGCCTATGGCTGCCCCACAGCACTCTACATGGGGCTGAGTCCCACCCACTCCTGCCAGGGGCAGCCTGTGCCACACTTTCACTGGGCCCGACCAGCATGCACAGCTTCCCAATGGGTCTACTGCTGTCCAGGTACTGCTTGGCTCCCCCTGCCTCCAGCAGCTACTCCTCCTGCCCCTGCTGAGCTGCTCTGGGTAGCAGTTAGCATGAAGAAGGGTGGTACATGGAGCCCACAGTGCTCCTCACGGGGCTGAACCCCTCCCGCTCCCACCTGGACACTTACTGCAGGACACTTACCGGCAGACCGTGCTGAAAGAGGGAGGCGGGACCAATTCAGAAACGACCGACACAGCGTGCTCACAGACCAAAGCAGCACACTCACGAACCACTACTCCTAAGAGGGAACATTGCCACTGAGTGCCTCTACAGCAAGGGAGAAAGAACTCAAAAAGCACAAACCTGTAGTTGTGCTTGCTCTTCAGCATATTCAATAGATTGAAAAATATTCAGAGCATATCGTCGCCTCATTTCTAGTCGGGCCATTGCACAGCGATACCATCTCTGAATAAGGATAGCGGCCTTAATTGCTGGCAAAACATGAAGAAAAAGAAAAATATTTATTGGGCAGACAGAATGAAAACAAACAAAGCTTGACTTCACATGAAATTTCACTTTTACTTATTTTTGAACTAGTAACACCAAACCCCCTCCCAAAAAAGCCCTGGAAACATTTCCAATTTCTGATCCCAAAGCAATGCTCAACTGTGGCTCTAGTGAACATGTCCTCTAATAACTAGGATTTTACACACATTTTTGTGTACTTCAGAACCCTGTGACCTCATCCATGTAGGGCTCAAACCAAATTCCATTGATCTGAGTGACACTGAATTATGCTGTTGCTCAGCATGACATCATTACAAATCTTTCCTTCAAACATAAATGCATGGATGTGGCTAATTGATTCAGACTCATTTTAGCCAGAGAACACCGTTCTGGGCAAGTGGAGAAATGACTATTTTTTAAGCAAGTAGAATGTAGCCAAACTCACTTATTGGCTGCTTCTTCACATGCAATACAGATTTCTTCTTTTTCAGGCTGCAGTTAAAAACTAAGGTCTTTCCCAGAAAGGAATTTTTAACAGCTTTTATTAATAGAAAGCAGTTTGCATCATGTTTTTTTTGTTTCGATTTGTTTTGTTTGTGCATGAGTAAGGCCCACACTGTCCTTCTTAAACCCATATTATATTCTATCTGAGTGTCAGACTTCCAAACAGCCACACCAATGAACTTTCACACTTTTTTGATGTCTGAAATAGTATGAAACAATTTGATTAGTATTTTTGCTGGTTCAGAGTGTTTTACATGCTCTTTCATAGGCAAGAGTCTACCATATCATATGTTAAGTGTAGCCCAGGTAGTACCTAGGTAGGTACTCCCCTCTCCAATTGAAGGGAGAGTTAGCAAGGCTGGTGTGCTGTGAGAGGAAACTGCAGGCTGAGCCAGTTTCCCTCTGTTCCCAAAAGAGCAAGGTCAGGACTTGATGAATCTTAACTATGTATAGATTTATTATTATTACATTAAAAAAATACAAATATACCATTATATAAACACTGGTACATCTATTTATGCTATTAGCCTCTAAATCTTGTTCTTTAGATAGATAGATAGCTAGATAGCTAGATAGATAGATAACCATCTATCACCCTAACAATACAAATAGATTACAGATAAATAGAAGGGAAGGGCCCCAACAGAGCCCCAGTAAATATCTAAACTTTATTATATTACCAACTTACAAATATAGAAATACACAAAATATAAAGCGTTCTCTCACAAAATGTTTGGTGCCATTTCACAAAATATAAGGCGTCTCAGCATCAGATTAATGCAACTCATTAAGCCTGCCCAGTGCCCAACCTGATCCTGGGGTGCTGGCTACTCTCCTGCAATCAGTGGGAGGGGGAAATCCTCCGTGCTCTTCAATCCCACTGTGACCCACAGAGAGGGATACCTCCAACAGAAACTTCAGACCCGGGGAGACTTCCCCTGCATAGGCTTCTCCTACAATAACCAGCCCAGGGTAACTTCCCCCTCCCCTGTGGGAAATCTCTTTTCTGGGTAACATATAACTCCGGGAGGTGGGGGGGGGGTCCCAGGTTAGGGGTCCTTGACCCTTCAGGTATGTGGATCCTCACTAGTAGTAATGCAAAAGCTCGTGCCTTTCTAACCAGTACGTCTCTAAGGGTACTTTGACACGTGCTCTGACACTTTCTGTTTAAAATGCATTGCTGATTAAAACGCCTTCTATTCAGAATGTTCCAGTGTGCTGCAGCATCTCGTGTATTCAGTGTCCCTATGTTTCAAAATGGCAGCAGGGGGGCTTTAACTAAAGATTGTGGAACAAGTTTTAGTTAAAGCACCCCTGCTGCCATTTTGAAATGGGGGATGCTGAATATACAAGACACTGAGGGCATTTTAACTGGAGCAGCTCCCAAGAGCTGGTCCAATTAAAACGCCTCCCACTGCACCCCAGAGCATGTGTACAGACACCCTAAAGTGTAATCATGCTCTGCTTTCTGCCTGACTTCAGACTCATGTGGCTAACTACCTCCCATTGTCTACGCTAGCAATGATTTGCCAATTGTGTCATACCAATAAATACTGTTTGGGGAGATGGAGAAGTGGTCTTTTGCTTGGACATCTTACACCACTTCCTTGAGTAAAATAAGGCAGACTGGAAAAGGAAGGTGGTGGTGTGGAGGGCAAAGACTGGTTATTTTTACTTTGCTATAGATATGCTTGCAGAAGGGAGTTTTACTTGAATAGCTATTTCAATTAAGGTTATGAGTTTTCAAACTCCTAGTCAAGACAGCTAAACCAACAAAGAGTACAGTATGGGCCTTAAGACCAAATGCTACCTTATATGAAGTGTTTGCAGATTTAAGGGCAGATTTTATTTCCTAAATATAAACCACAAGTCACACAGTACATCCTTATCTGGTCCAAAAATCAAAGGAAAGTTCACACTTGAAAACCTGATGTGACAGAGTGGGGTACGTCTGTACCAAACTATGAATTATAAGGATGTACTGTGTGACTAGTGGTGTATTCATTGTGCACTGAATACACACAAAGACATGTCTGAGGGCACTTGGTTGCACTGTGTCTGACAGTGTCCTTTCCCAAAATGGTTCTTGACCCCTTTTTGAAAGATGATGAATGACTAGTTAGGATCTGCAGATTAGAGTGGATCAAAAGCTGAATATAAGCCAACACAGAACCCTTGTTGTGAAAGAAGCCAATAGCGTACTGGGTTGTATTACCAGGAGTGCCACTTGCAAGTCAAGAAAGTGATCTTTCCTTTCCGTTTGGCACTAATGAGGCCTGACACAGAGTACTGTAGCCAGTTTTAGAACCCTCACATTAAGACAGATTAGAAAGAGTCTAGCAGAGAACAACAGAAATGGTAAGAGGTCTGGGAAATGAGTTTGACAAGGAAAGGTTGGAAGATCTAGGAGAAGAGAAAGCTAAGATATGATAGGATAAAATTCCTCAAATACAAGAAGCATGGCTATAAAGAAGATGATGATAAACATCTGTGACTTCTGGGGAGAAGACAAGAAACAATGGGTTGGACATTAAAAAGAACTTACTCACTATGAAAGTGGCTAAGTATTGGAACAGGCTACCCTATGAGGAATCTTTATCTATGGAAATTTTTAAGAAGAGGTTAGACAAACACTTGTCTAGGATGGTTTAGACGATTGTGCAGGGGTTAAGCTAGATCATTCTATGATGATCACCAAGAGCTATCAGGATTATGACCCAAGGCTGTCAGCTCTGAATGGATCCCGCATACAGGCCGACCAGCCTGAATTATGTTTTATCCAATATATAGGCTCACAGGTAATACAAGCAGCACAAAATGTTACTGAAGTTCATAATTTGGTATGGAGGTACCCCACTCTGTCACATCAGGTTTTCAAGTGTGCATTTTCCTCTTGGACCGGATAAAGAGGTACTGTGTGACTTGTGGTGTATATTAGGGGGGTAAAGCTTGAGTGCATTGCTCATTTTTCAGAGGAGGCAACCAGTACCAAACAAAAGGAGGACCTGCAGGCAAAAAACAAAATGGCAGGAGTGTCTCTGCCCAGCCTGTAATGCCACCAACCAACCAACTACAGATGCTTCCTCAGCCTGACGAAGGATATTTGTGCCTGAAATCTTGCAAAGAAAAAATTTTCCAACTATTTGAGCTGGTCTTACAAAAGATATCAGATTTACCCAAAGAGCCTTGTCCATCAACCCTAGAAGGACACAAGGGGTGGGAGCAGATCCTAGGAAGGGGCACCTTGGGATTTTTGCTGTTTCAAAAATACGTGATATTCTAGTGTTTTAAGTAAAGTTGCTATGGTTACATTTCTTTGCTAAGTTCTCTATTGCCATTTTGTCCCATAAGATGGCAGAAAAAGGTTAAATACCAAATAGATTTTTCATTTTAGATAACATGCCTTTTCAAATGCCACAATGTATGTTTTGCAAGGTAGGTTTCCCTCTCAGACTCCTCCACCACACATTTAGTCTGCATCTTCTTTTAAACTAAATTGGTGTTTTTCAACCTTTCAGGATTCAGAAAAGGGCTCCAAAGTTTTCACAATTTTACACTGGTGATATATAGCTTTGCTGCCTGCCAATAATTACACAAATGTGCTTGAGTTATTACAATTTACCACTTGGATTGTGGCAGCATGTAGGTGCCCTTATCCTGGCCCTGGATGCCACTTTGCCAGGTACTGTATTATTGCAGGTCAAAAGATCATCTCTGCTTCAAAGACCTTGCAATTTATTAGTGGTTAAAGTTAATCTAAGTTATGGTCAAAGTGTAAACCCCTTAATGGACAGAATCCTTCCTGGTGCACACAACTGATAGCAAGCCTCATGTGAAGCAGCAAAGCAGAGGCATTGGATCCTGCATTAATGTGTGCTGCTACCTGGCCATCAAGTTACTCCTACATAGTAACACAAATGAGACTAGGGTAGGAGGTTGTACTTAAATTCCACACATATATTCAGAGTTGAATTTAAATAAATCTCCCTAGACACAGCTGGTTTGTGTCCACATCTCAATCCTACTTTTACTGTACTCACAAAAAAAGCTTGAGTCAGTAGGTATGCTTGAATATAACGATGCATCTCCTTTGACAGTCCTATAGACAGGACTTGATTTTTCTTCATCTAGCAACTTCTGCATTCATTCATCCTTGAACTAAGGAAATGCAGCACAATAATAGTTTTATACCCTGTCTCCAAGGTGTATAACACCACAGAATGTAAGAACACAACGAACCAGTCCCTGGGGCACTTGCCCATGTGGGGACTGAGCATCTGTTGACACAAGCACCATTAGTTCTCCCTGATCCTGGGGCCAAAAGTTCAAGCAGTGGTACAGTTGCTTCAGCTTCACCTGGTTTAGAATGATTTCTACAGGACTTCTGCCTACCAGGAGTGAATGGAGACAGAGCTGTGGGCTACCTCTGGTCAGAAGAAACAGTCCTTGATGATGGTGAACAGCAGAGAAAAAAGCTCAGCGTGGGAGATGCCCGGGGCTCCAAGAACCATATTATAATCATCATCATATACTGTGAGACTTTATGAAAGGGAAAAACTGTGGCCAATTAATTACTATGTCATACTAATATCCTCATATACATTACATTAATATTGTCAAAATAAAGTGTTAATGCAAAAAATCAGAAGTAAATAAACTAGGACTCTGAAGGGCTTCCAATCCTCAACACTTGTATCTTTGACTGACTCCAAGATTAAGTGCTGGGCCCTGTTAGGAATTATACTAGTAGAACTCTTTCAGTAAGGTGTTTTCCTTATTGACACGGTTAACATTACTAAAAACCCTAGGATGAAAACCTTTTTGTTGATATAATTGTCTCATACTGATATAATTCATTTTTCCTTTCAAGCTAGAGTAAGCTATACTGACAGAAGGATTTTTATATAAGGTGTTGCTTTTTGCTGTTGATGTAATTAAAGCAATTAAACTTATATGGTAAAGAAAGCCTAAGTCAGTTATCTAGGAAAGAACCTTTTGCAAATATGTAAGCTAAAGTCTCTTTTAATTTCTCTGACCTATAGGAAAACTGATTCCCATATATCTAGGAAAAAGATTCCTCCCACATTAGCTCCTAAGACCTCTCTGAGAATAGTCAATGGAGCCCTACCCCTGACATAATCGAGAACCTAACTGGTTCATTACAGCGGCGCTGATGTCACTCAGACTGTTTTGGAGAAG